CACGGTTCCAGAATACCCTGTCTGATCAGTTTTTCGACTTCCGCTTCGATTTTGGGTCGAAGCGCGAAAGCTACATTACGCGCCTTTAATCGAATTGGCCGCACTGTAGAATCAATTTCTAATTTGACCGGTTTTCCACGAAAATTCCCAAGGTTATTATCGAACACGTCGCTAAATTGTTGCAGCACCCGCTCAATATTTGTATCGACCGTAGCTACCGCGTTCATCGACAGCTTAATTCCCAAAGCCTCAAACCAATTTCGCCCCAACAGACTAATGTTATCGCCCTTCGTCACGACTAAAGGTAACGTTTTCGAATGTTTATTAAACGATACGCGCACCTCACATTCGCCCAGAATTGCAATGTCCTTTTTCTGCCAGTCTCTCAACGATAACTGAATGTTATTTAATCGCGGTGTATCCCCCGCAAATAGTCTTTCGAAACACGATTGTGCCATAACCGTAAAGCTCGCACCCGAATCAATTTCAAATTCGCATTGTCTATCATTCACCGAAAGTAAAACCCGGTATGGTGCCTCCCCGCGCCCGACATTATGGAGACCAAAATAATAATAATCGTCCTCACCATCGTCACTGTTAGTTGGCGGTTCCGATTTCACTTGGTGCTGACCGGTTTTATGGTCTCTTTCGTTAGATCTACCCCGAGAAGAATTCTGTGCCGCACTTACCCTTTTCCCTTCGTTCGCTTTATTACCATTCCCACGATTCCTTCTGGACAGGCACGCACGCTCAATGTGGCCCTTCTTCGAACAGAATCTGCAGTCCGCGTCCTTCCAACGACACGCAGTTGGATCGTGGTTAGCTGTGCACCTCCAACATTTCATTGGAGTCGACTCCTTGTGTACCTCAGTTTTATTTATTTCAGACTGTCCGGGCACCTTACGGAGCTCCACCACCTGGCTAGCTGCATTTTCGGTTGCCGTAGCTGTGTCGAATGCCATCTGGAAAGTAAGATTCGGCTCTGATAGTAAACGACGTTGAAGGGCTTCGTTGCGCGCACCACACACGATACGATCCCGAATTTGTCTTTCTAGTTCCACCCCGTAATTGCACAACCCGCCAATTTTTCGGAGTTCGGCGACCCACGCAGAAACAGTTTCACCCTCCTTTTGGTTTCTTTTATTAAATAAAAAACGCTGAACGATTTCAGATTGCTTCGGATTGAAATGCGTCGATAACAAATCGATTAAGCGATCGAACGACGTATCGGCAAGTTCATTTGGAATGCATAAACTTCGCGCGATTTGGAATGTTTGCTCGCCGCACACGCTTAAAAAAACTGCGCGTTTCTTTCCAGCGTCCGTGACCCCGTTCGCTTCGAGGTAAAATTTCACCCTTTGCACGTAAATATTCCACGTTTCCGGGGCCGCCGTGTTAAATTGTTCTATATTCCCCAAGAAAGCCATCGCGGTTATCGGCACGATACGTCACTCGTCTGATACACACGCACGCTTACACTCTGCTATTTTGTTAATTTTATTCTCGTCGCCACTGTTTAGTTTGCCCGTTTATTCATACAAATACAATACAGTACATGTTAAGGATACATTGGAAAAATACACCGGCATAAAATGCAAACACGACATTACAAAGTACCGTTTACAACCTCCCGTCTTCCTCGTCCATGCTGCTCGTCTTGCGCACACGCAAGCCAGGTTTACCATGCTCAATACATGACAGACAGCAATGTAGTCTAATCAATTCAGAATGTAGATAATAATATGAACAAATTCTTCAGTAGGTAAGTATATATATTATATTCTTCGTAGCGACACAGGTAATGTTAGTAAAATCGAAGCAAATTACAAAAATTTCGTTAATACTTGCGGTTAGGAACTATATCTCGAAGTGTAGGTAAACAAATTCCCATGAAAGTAGGTCACAGGTAATGTTGGTATAATTCTTTAAGCCGGTAATGTAGAAACATCCATCGCGTCGCGCGCACGCCAACACCAATCCTAATAAGATGGCGGGTCCAGGTACAAATGCGATGTCATTAACGTACTGCGTAAGTAGTGTTAGTAGGCAATATCCAGGTAGATCATAACGTAGAAGGTAACCCAAAAGAGAAACAAAAAGAAAACAGCGAGGGAAGATGAACCGCTAAAGAAACTAAGAAAAATGCTGCGTAAGCACAGCCACAGACATTAAAAAGAAAGAGAAACCACCTCGGCAACCACTCTAAAGATATATATTGAGTAAGACGATAGTCAGTAAAAGTAATGGCGTACCTACCAAGAGAAAAATTTGCTTGTTACAGGAACATCACTGAAAAGGAAGAAGTACGGCGAATGCGTAAGCAGAAAAAAAAGAAGGGATATAACTAGAAGTACCACGGAAAACGTCTGCATGACCTCCGTTGGCGAAGCAAAGGACTGTTGTAATAAGAAGTCTACAACAGCGAAAATAAATAACTAAGGTAATGGAGAACATTTAATTAACATTAAAATTAATCACAAATAAAGATAAATTTCTTTACGTTTCGCCCAGAAGTGGGGAGATCTCCTTGTTGCCAAGCACTTCAGTGGGCCTAGATCTACCTTGCAAAGTTTATAATAAAAAAATCAAGAAGCATTGAAGCACCACTCACCCAAGTGGTAGATACGAAACCATGGAGACGGGTATGCTAAGGAGGAGAGGAAGATTAGTGGCCACAGATTGAAAATTAATGAAAAGTCAGTTGTTATGGATTAATAAAAAAATGGCTTATTCCTTAGTGAGGAATGGAATGGAACATCCATTCAGAAATGGAGTCGCAGGTCGCAGTTGGATGGATGCTATTTTACGACGGTACAATGATTTCCTTTCTCCTCGGACGCCAACTGGAACGTCGTTTGCCAGAGCTTTGGGATTTAATAAAGAAAATGTGGACACGGAATATGAATGCCACCAAACATTTAATTTGGATGAAACGGGATTATCCATAGGTCCAAGCAAAATACCCTTATAGGGAGAAAGGGGTAACCGCTTGCAAAATAACTTTAGAGTCACAGGAATTTGGGCCCTAGATTAAAATACTTTTCTGATGCTGATTATCGTGTGGAGAAATTGAAACCAGAAAAACTAGCATTGTACCTGTAGGCAGACCCACACATTCCAAGTACTGCCTCAAGTTTTATGTTAGCCTGAAGTTCAATCAGGAAACTCTACAGATCCAAACCCTACCCTCGATGATCTTCAGGAAGATATTGTTAGCCCATTTGAAATTAACCTTGTACCACCTGTGACCTTTCTACAAGGGATAAATCTCAGATGGTACTAAATGAACTAAAAAAACATATAACGGGTGACCGCTTTGTAATTTAAAAAAAAATTCATTCAACATTGAAAACTGGACACATACCGCTTCATAGTAAACTTGAACGAAAGTATGTCTAGTGATAAGAACGATAACGGCGCGCATTTCGAGTAAAACGCAAGCAGGCTGAGTTTAGTAGATGAGCGTTTGATCGACCGTATTGCAAGTTTTATTAACCGCTGCGACAGAGAAGAAGTGGGAGGGTTTTCGAGTGTCTGGACGTTTATGTAAAAAAAAAAGCAGAGAGTGCGTCGTTTGGGTGTAGTGGGCGAAATACAAATAGCCAACGAAACAGGAGAGCCGGAATTCTCATTTTGGCTTCGAAAGCAACCAGAACTAGTTCGCAGCTTAAGTAAGCACGTGCAACTTTGGTACAAGAAAATTAATTTGCGTACTTAACTGTGAAGATTCGCAGTCTCAGGTATTTTGTGCGTAAAAATGTTATTATTTATTAGCCTTCGCAGCCCAACTTTGAGAGCGAGCACGTTTAAGACAATTAATTTTATGCAATTAGTACAGTGGGGAAGTGGCTTTTTATTCCTGTGCATAAATAAGATCTCGTACATGTTTTCAAGAGTCTGATGTGGATTTACACGTGTTCGGAATACATACGGACAACTTTATGTCAAAATTTCCATTAAACAATCTGTTTAGACGTTCCAAAGGAGGATAATATCAATCAATCAATGAAGAAAGCCCCAGTATCACCAATAACTGTGTGTGCCTTTAAATTCTTGATTTGTATAAATGTCTTGGCCGATTGTTTTTAGGAATTTGTATAAGAATTTCATTTAACGTAATCAATTGCATGAAGCAGATTTGCATTGCATTTTTTTGATGAAATAATCGGATAGGCTTTAGGTTTTTTTATTAGTTGGGGATTTGCATTTAATTTCCTTCGGTTGGATTGAAATTTTGTTTAACATTCAAATGTGTGTGAATATTTTGAATAGGCCACGGAATTTAAAGCAACTTCTGAAATCCACACTAACGCCTTTCTTGGAGATTCTTAAATTAATACATTTAGAGAGTCTGCGTGATACTTTGTTGATTCTAGAAAAATTCGTCAGAGAAGGAGCATTTTCGGATATTCTTTGTGAAGTTTTTTAGTAAATAGTCAATAGTTTAGCAAATGGAAAAAATGAATAAAATGAATAAAATGAATAAAATGAATAAAATGAATAAAATGAATAAAATGAATAAAATGAATAAAATGAATAAAATGAATAAAATGAATAAAAGAAACCAATTCCAGTAGATAGGGTGAAATAGGGACTGAAGCGAGACCAGTTTATTGACCACGTGAGAATGTCTGAGTCTGTCAAACCAAATGATCAATTCATATGTAGGTGTGGGAAAAACAGCACAGTTGAAAATCAACTCTAGTGACTTCCTTCGCAATCTAACTATGTACTAATAAATGAGAAGTTAATGATCTCAAATACAATTTGAATAATATCTATCAAATAAACCTTTGTCAAAACTAATATTATATGCATAATCTCTAAATGTTTCTAAATACTCCTCAGTTCAGATATTATTAACTTTTCTTTGAGTAAGCTTTAGATACGTCCTTTGTTTAACGAATCCGCCGACATAAACAACCTATTTTAACCCCCTAATCAAACGAATCAATATTTACTCGTGTTATACTTGATAAAGCTATAATGATGATAACCAACCCATACACGATTCCGATATTTACCGAATTTCCAAGTGTACCGATAACCACCTATAATCTCTCGTACGCGACAGTGCAACTCCTGTGACAGATGATGGATAACCAATCGGAACGGTTGCGAAAATGGAAAAACCTGCTGAAAAATTACAGGGCAGACCACGAATATCTGAATAAAGTAGGAAAATCGTGGATTCTCAGCGAGGGAAGGTCGACCGAAACCGAGCGGAAAATTAAAGAAGCTCTAATTCACACGGACAAATCGCTAAACGCAATAAAGGAGTACTTCGAACCTTATTTGGAGGTGAGTTTTGTAGAGTATCGGAGCACTGTCGACAAACTCAACTCTGAAATCAAGACGATGCAGAAGGAGATCGAGCATTTAAGGGTAACAAACGAGAGTGGCAACGAGTTAATCCACCAAAACGAAAGGCTCAATTATGAAAATGTTCAGTTGAAGCAGAAGCTGGATGGGCTGGAGGCAATTCGGAAGGACAATTTCCAATCGATTATGGAGAGAAAGCAGGAACAGTTCGACGAAACGTTTAAAATTCAAAATGACCTTATCGGCAACCTGAGGGAGCAGCTGGAGCAGAATGCCAAGGAAATGCAAACGTTGAGGCAGTTAAATACGAATCTTAAAAGCACGATGGATGAGAGGGCGCTGATTCAGACCCAGGAATGTCTCTTACCAGAAGCTTCGAATATTATTGGGTATCCCACGCTTCCTCTCTTATAATTTGTATTTTTATGTTATTAAACGTTTTTTAAAGGCTCTTTTTTCTCTGCATGGTTAAGGTCCTGTTAAAGTCCAAAGGACTCTGCAATAAGATGTCCAGCGGCTACAGCAACTGTGGCATTTCTTTCTACAGAGCAGTAATATTCTACTAGCAGTGTTGCCGTATTGCTAGATTTGGTAATATACGTAGGGGTTGTTTCTAATACAGAAAGTTCTAGTAAGGCCCTAAGTGAGGCAATGGAAGAGTGCAGTTGTGGTCTAGAAATGCACTAAAATGTTCTACAAGGCGCACCAGAAAGCTCTAGAGAGCTTTTCATTGTTATAAGAGGCACATAATCCCGGGAATAGTTCTACAGCCTCCTATTCAAACGATTACATGCTTTCTAGAGACTCTTTCATTTAGTTAAGAAAGCTTTCCAAATTTTTTTAGTGTTAGTCTTGAAGCGTTCTTTGTCTTGTGTGGCAAATATACCTATAGGATTCTAGAAAGGCGTTAGAAGAAACAAAGTTCAAAAGCATTTCACAGCTTTCCCGATGCTGGTAAAGGTCTGGAAGAAACTAATGCGTTATGGTACAAAAACCTGGTATAACGACAGAATTTGGAACGTGTCAAACCCTTGAATTGTTTCGATAATATGTAGGTGCTCTGTAAAGCATTTATGTGGCTCTAAAGAATTTAGAGCTTTTTCAAAGATTATTCTTGAGTTATAAATAATTCAGTTTTTAGTGCTTTTCACACGCGTTTCACAACAAGGCTAAAGGGATAAAAAGCTCAGAAAATTTGGTAGGAAGAAAAGGTGATGCTGGACACTTAAACTTGGTATTGAGAACCAGAGATTGGAAATTGAACTAACAACTGGAAAAGAAATGGAAGATGTCTGAACTAAAAGATGGAAGTAGAAACCTTGGTACCTGGTAGGTAAATGAGAAGCAACTGGAGTCGGGAAGCTCACAACAGTAAAATAGTACTTGCACGTTTACAAAAAATTGCTGGAAATTGAAAATCGGATTACAGTAAGCCAGTATACGGAACGAGAAGTTCAAAACGGGAAACCTGAGTTGGAGTATGGAAACTGAAAATTTAGAACCATGGTTGGAAACAAAAGACTTGGAAATAGAAACTGGAAATTGATCATTCAAACCAGAAAGTGGAAGCCGAAGATTAGCAGAAGAAAAAGGAAGCTAAACCAGAGAATAGTGAACCTGAAATCAGAAATTGCTACTGGAAGTGGTCAATAAAATAATCGGGAGTTCATTAGAAACCGCAAAATTGGCATGGAAACTGAACCGATCGCAATCAGAAAATCAGAATATGTAAGCCGCACACTGGGATCTCGAGATATAAAAAATGGGAACTAGGATCTGGAAATCGGAAATCCGGGAACCACTGGAAATGGGAAAACCGGTAACAAGCTTGGAAACAAGGGGAAAATTTACAATGCGTTTCCAGTTTGTACACTATTGGAAATAGCTCAATCTAGAAAAAAATGTCCCTCAAATAGTCACAGATTCTTAATTAGTACCAATCAGCACAATCTAAGTGAATGTAAGGAAAAGAAGTGCACCTTCAATGACGTGTAATACAAAAGGATGGACTCGATAAAGTGCAACAAGAGAACCTCGCCTTCCTCCTAGTGATTAGCTCCTGAAATTTTCGATTACACGCAAGAAAAGTCTTGTTTTCCGAAGTACTAGCAATTGTTCCAAGGAAACCTCACCTTCGATGGCACTTGAGTCAAAAGGATTGCTTCCAAAAAAAACGGCAACCAAGAAAACTACCTTTCCTCCTAGTAACATTAGGGTTTTGGAATGTTCCCCCCAAAAGAAAGTTTTTCGTCTAAGGAAGACTGGGTGCATGTTCTAAGAAAGTTTCACCTACGATAAAGCTCGAATATACAGAGTTGCCATTTAAAAAAGTACAGCTAAGAAAAATTTTCCCGGATAATTGCACATACTGTACTGGGTGTCTCTAATAAAAGATACAACCAAGAAAATGCACTTTCCTCCGGTTCTAAGGAAGATTTACCTTGCTTTCCCTCGAATAGCTGACTGAGTTTTAGCCCGTAAGCGAAATTGCTCCCCCTCCTGGAAACTTTATCTAAGAATAATGCACCTTTAATGAAGCTTGACGACTTTCCTAAGAAAAATACAACCCAAAGGGCTCACCTTCCTACAAGTAAATGGCACATAGCCTACTGAGAATTTGTACCAATAAAAATTCCCCTTCAATAAAGCACGTTGGAAACGGTCGCCTCTAAAAAAATTCGCCTCGCCCTTCCCTTACCCGAGCAGTTGGTCCAGAGAATTATCGACTTCCAGGTGTTCTCCTCTCTGAAGTACTGGAAACTTGTACCAATACAAGGATACAAAGGAAATTCAGTTTTATTGACGCTTGACTTAAAAGCTGTACCTAAAGACCCTACCGATCCATGGAACCATGTTCGCCTCCAAGGGAAGTTCTCCCCTCCAATACGCTCCAAAGAAAACTGACTTTCAATGTAACTTGACCCTGAATGCGTTTAAAGAAATACCTAGAACACCTACAAATCTTGCTATCCTTCGAGTAAATGAACTAGGAATGTTCACTCTACCAAAATTCCTCTCCAAGGTACCCGGGCCCTGAAAAAGATTTCACATTTAATGAAAGTTCACCCACAACGGTAACCTCTAAAAAGTACAAACCCCCCTTCAATAATTAGCTTCTGGAACTTTCGTCACCAAGGAAAGTTATCCCTCTCCAAAGTTCTTAGGAAAATTCAGTCTCAATAAGTCTTGACTCAGTGATTCTGCCTCTAAAACAATACAACGAAGGAAAGTGAAAATACCCAACTTGAAAGCGTCCTCGTGAAAAACATTGACGGGATGGAAAGGCCATTCGAAAGCCCTGCTAATGTAATCTTGAAGTCAGTTAGTGTAATTAGCAAACTTAATGCCATTTCCAATTATCAATAATTGCCACCGAACGTATGGTTTCGCGCGGCTTATAAGAAAGCACATACGCAAATCTGCAACTCCTAACATTAATTTATTAAATCCGTCCCTGACTACCGCCTTCATCTGTTGCATTTATTCATATCACACCACAGCCACATTTTTATAGGATTATAATTATCTACTTGCAAATATTACATCTGGAATTTAATTAATTAATCTTAATTGAAAAGAATTTACCTTGTAGTGAATTATTCCTATACATAGTGGAGTCGCACTGAATATGATTGATCTTTTATGTTATTATGACCTCACATTTGACTAGTTTTTAGGTGTATTACAATACCTATAACGCCCAAGGGAATTATCATAATTCTCAAGGGCTTTATTTTTCTGTCATTCGTTTCTATGACAACATTTAAGAAGAAAAGTTATTATTTGAAGGATTGTTAAATGTTGTACTGTCAGTGTACTAATTAATAGTTCCCTATACAGATATTATATATAAACCTAGTTATAAACAGTTGAGTAACTCCCATACTCAAATCATATACTTATTTACATATTTGTGAACAATCAGCCCCTTTTTTAAGATCGAGTAAGTATTTCGTCCATACCTATAGAATTGGGAGCAAAACTCTTCGATAACTCTCGAAAATAAGCACGTTTCTGATACGGCATTCAAGCATTTCCTACCCTCCCATTCTTCTAACTTTTGCAACTCTTTTGCAAATGCTATTACCGACTTCTTAGTATCACCTCGTTGCGTACTCGCGCAAGCACTTCTTCGGGGAGTCGTCCAAGGACCATTTTGAATTTAAGTTTCGCACTAGTTTTATATTGTAAAGCTTATTGACAAGCAAAAATGGCAAATGCATAATAACCACAGGATCAATTGCCAGTCAGAAATAGCTATCGTCCACAGCCGACGTACACCCGAGGGCTTATACTCTATCGGCTTAGGGCGTTATTTCCGTTATAACGCCCTTGATACCTTAATTACTATAACAAACGCTTCTAGCTGCACATTTCTACATATTTCTCTTATCAACGGGTAAGCTTGACCACTTCCCGAACGCTTTCTTTAGAAGTTAAATATCCATGCCTTAAGAACAAGATAAACCATCAGACATGCTACAAAGTACATGAATAAACATACTTAAGGGTATAAGGGAAGTAGCACGGGCATGCGTCTTTTGCTGCCCTGTCTCAATGGGTTAACCCACGAAGACCAAAATTTAGACGCAGGGATTTCTGTATGTCAATTCTCATAAATTATTCGTCTGTGTCTGTTTTCCGTTCTAAGCTTTAGCGTACTCACCCCTGTTTGGAGGGTTTGATAGACGGGGATCTATGCTCGATGGCACTGAATCATTGCAACACATATAAAATGAAAGCACTAGAAGACATACTACTCCACTAGAGGAAAGCGATGGAAGAAAGAGGATGTAATCTTTGGAAGGCATGAGACTAGCACTTCTATCCCAAATATTCGCGATGAGAACAGTACACGACTACCAGTCTCAATTTTTGACCGGGAATGGGAATGGGAAGGTAAGGAGCTACCTTTATAGGATCAAAAGGGAACAGACGAATTGTGTAGAAACGGGTATATCTAGTTGACTGTAACTTCTTAGTTATTCAGTTCTGGTGGAGTTGCAAATTAGCAAAAACGCCAAAAAACGGAGGTATGGTAAGTTAGAGTGACACGTTGTGGTAGTGCAGCGTGCAGGTTGGATAGGGGCGCCCACATGGCACCAAGCACGACGATTGTAAGGGTACCGGAAACTCGTTTGGGGTAGAACGATGATAGAACGAAAATGTGAATCTATGGTTCTCATCAGATGAACACTGAAACAGTTGCGCTAGCTTAAAAAATGTGGCCGCAGTGCTGGGATGCGATTCTGATCCTAATGCGCAGGGGTCTTTAGTCAGCCGCCAACCTGAGTACCATTTCCTCACATTTGAAAAAATATTGAGACCGCTAGGCATTCAGTTGGGGGCCTCTAGGCTGTTGTAGCCAAACAAATGACAAACAAAGTGCCTTATGCGAGCAAAACTTTAATCTTCGCCTCCATTTATTAATTTTGTGCCACAAACTTTATTATCTGCGGTTAATTTACGGATCAATTCGCAAGATAAAAGCAAACATTCAAGTAAGTAATTTATTACAAGACATAAAACAAAATATACAAACAAGACGATAAAAGTAATAATTATCCTTACACTATAATTAAATTAAGTAATATCTGGTAACACAATATGTACAGGTGAGTAAGTTTTTTGGCATTTTTATTCGCTAGACAGACGTAATTATAAATTATTATCATTATTACTAAACATAAACAAATACTAGATTGATAATATGGCGCGAGACCTTGTTACCATTAAGGATAGGGACGACTACATTCACTAAGTTGACGAAATTGTGACGTATCAAATCTGGTCAATGTCGTCGGCGAATTCAATGGCACTAGGAGTATTAATAATAACATGCCGCATTAAATTAAATCGTATAACGACAATACTGCAATTAAATAAGTCTTACGGAGAAGAAAGCCGCCAAAAGAAGGGCAAGCGTTAGTGTTACACTTTCGGAACTGTTTCCTTTCGTTGTCGGAGCTTCCGTCGTTGAGGTCTGCATGTTGAGCTTAATCCTGTTGGTCAGTTCCGGGGAGATTACTAATTTTGAGTCGCATGACGTGTTGCGAATGGCATCCGCAACCGGCGAGGTGAGTATTCTGAAATTGACATCGCTTTGGTTCAGTCTGGAGTACATGAAAATTGGCAAGCGATCGGAGAGAACCCAAAGGTTGTTGTTGGCGTCTACCTTGATGTCGTTCGGGAAGACCATGGTGACGTTGCTCATGTAGACTCGCCCTTGTGATTCCATGGTGTACGAGGGGTTGGTTGTTTTCCAGCAGGCGATGGCGTTCAAGCTGACCAAAGCGTAAAACAGGACGCCCGTTTTCTTGTCGAGGAATGAAACGTTGCTTTGACCCCTGGGCCCTCGGCTACCCAACACTTTGAACTCCTTAAAGCTGTTCTGGGCCAGAGTGGGGTTGCGCAAAAATTTTGTGTTGATCGAAAACTGGTGCACGCCCGTGAGGCAATGGAAGTAAAGCGTACTGTAACCCTCGGCGTCGGGCGCAGACAGCGCGACGCCCAGAATCCCATCGCTCCAGCTGAACTGCAAACCAGCGACGTTGAAATTGCCGGCCATCGGGTCCATGTTAAAGTAGTGGTGCTTCACTAGCCACGACGTTTGATTCGCCCACGAGTACACGATCAAACCGGCGTCGCCCAAATCGGCCAGGTACGCGTACGCATCCTGGCAGTTTTCGTCCTCGACGGCGATGTTCCCCAAAAGACTGTCGGTGGTGTACTGGTCCTTTGGTATCATGTAGCGCCTCAGCAGGGCGTCATTGTGCAGGTCGTAGATGAGTAACTGGGCAGCGTAGAAGCGTATATCGCCCAAGGCGTCGACGACTCCGGTATCCAACACCCAAAGTCTCCCGCACTGATCCGCCCTGATGCGAAACGGCGAAACAATCTCGGGCGGATCGCTGCCTTCGGTTTGTGAAAGTTTGTGCGCCTCCCAGTTGGGGTACGGACGGAGCTTTGGCGAATCCGAAGGATCTGAAAAGTAAAACATTATTAGTTGGTTTTTGACACATTTAATTTAATTCATTGATTTATTTTCGTTTGTTTGCGTTTGTGGGGGCCTTCAATTTTAAAAGATCTTTTTGTAAAGAAAATACTTCACCCGTCGAAGCATGATTTTCCTCCCTACTTGTTTAAAAACAAATTCAAAAAATTTGCTGGGGCTAGCAGAGAATTAGGAATTCTTTGATTGACATTTTTCAATTGATTTTTGAAACCTCTAGGAGGATCCAAAGGTAGGTCTTTTGTATATTGTATATGGAATTATGATCAGGATTTAAGAAGCCTACTGGAAGAGGAGCCGAAGAAAGAAATAAAAAAACAAGAAGAAGCTCAAATTCAAATTAGTAAAATATGGTTCCAAGAAAGCCAAGACATCTTTGGGTGCCACGAAATGCAAGAAGAAAATGCTCCAGGGAATGAAATTAGCCAGCAATATGAGGAAGCGGGAGCACGTCAAGAAAAATGTAGTGATGCTGAAGAAGGCAACATACCGAAACCGCAAACCAGTCATGCCCCAGGGATTTCCAACAATTGGCAAATATTATGGAGATGCTTATCACACAACAAGAACCTAGAAGAGCACAGTAAGAGAAATGAAAGGGATGCTTGAGGAAGTGGATCAAGAATTCAGAGTGAAAAACATTCAATTAGAAATGAAGATTAAACCTGACCAAGATTAACTTAATAGAGGAAACTCTGGGAGAAATTCAGGAAAATCGATTAGTAATCCAAGCCGTGCGTGCTGAAATCAACCAAAGCCAAAAGAAGGCATAGGGCCACTGAGAAGAAAAGACAGAGGTCCACGCCAAGAGAATCATCAATAGGCTAGATGACCAAGAAAACACAATATTAGAAATGCAAGAAAGAAAGAAATTTTCGAGGGCGAATAAAGGCTGTGGTAGGGGAACTAGAAGAGGTAAAGAAAAATGAAGGAAGGATTGATCAGCATGAATCGGATATTGGGAACCTCAAAGCGAAAATTAAAGGAAATGAACTTTTAGAAGAAAGAACTTCCACCCCAATAGTGTACAAGGCTGAATCTTTACACCAAAAGCCTAGGAAATTTGATGGGGACATTAGAACTAACCATCCGATTACTTTAAAAAGCTATTTGAAGATTTTCGAGGGAAATCCTCAGAACCTTATTGACCGTACCATGGAGTTCCTCGACGATAATGCCAAATTATGGACGGATCTACATATTCGAGGATGGAAGGATTTTCAGAAACTATAAGATTTTCTGGGGAAATTCTGGTCTGAAGATATTCAAGATAAAGTAAGAATACGATTGGCAACGCCGAGAAGATATAACAACCGCAACAGCAACTATGTGAACCACGTGTGGTACTGGCTCAGCGAACCAGCTCGCCTGAAGAGCAGTTGGTGCATGCTATCACTCGTCATCTTCCACGAGAAGTGGAACACATTTTAATTGGTGCCAGAGGCAATACCATTCGACCATTGGTGACAACGCTTCAAAGAATTCAATTTTCAACCAAGGAGGTGGAATAACGGAAGCAAACAAGAAGATCGAACTGGTCGAGCACCGAGGCGACAGGAAGAAAGAAGACCCGTGAATACAGTGGGATTCAGGAGAGAGCATGGGTCGCGCTATGGAAACCATGGAGAGCACTATAGACAACAAGGAGAATAGAGAGGGTCGGGTGCATTTGACAATCATGACCAGAAACCAGAGAGGCAGGGACCTGGAGCACCACTAGTCTCTCGAAAAAGAGTAAAAAATTATTACCAAAAATTTAAAATAAGACCAGAAGTAGAAGAAGTCAAAAAATATGAGAGAGTAGGCGTCGCACAAATGAAAATTGAAGAAAATCAAATAATTTTGCATCAAAGAAAGAATTAGCAGAAGAAGGTTTTAAGATACCTACGAAGGAAGAGATTTGAAGAAAATTTTGAATAATACCACGAAAGAAGCAATCGAAGAAGAACAAGTTAAGAGAAGACGAGGAATGAATATTCGAAATTGGGCGAAGAAGAAGAAAAAAGAAGAGAATATATCTCATTATTATAATTATAATAATAATTTAATACCTAACAGAAAACAAATTCTAATAATAGAGGCGATACAAGTAAATATTACTAAAACTAGAAAATTTGGTATAAAAAATTAATGCATAACTAAAATAATCAAAAAAGTAAAGTAGTAAAAAATAGTAATTAAAAATTAATCTCCGTTAATAAACATTTTAAGGTTGAATTAAATATGTCCACGGTTTTACATTATACATGAACAGGTGAAGAAATTAGATGATTTTATTTATATTTTATTTTATTGGACAGATTAGTTTTTTTGGGTGTTTTGTCATTAATATATTTTTAGGTAGAGGTTTTTAAGGAAAGTAGGGTTTGGAACCGAGTTGTGGAGGGGGTTGCGATATAAAGGTTTTAGTTTCTTTTCGAAGATTTACCGTTAGGAATGGCGCAGGTCCTCCCACATTTAACGCGAGGATCCCTCCGTAGGTCCTTCAGATCGTGCCGCTTCTCGGGAATCGGTATTTTGGGTGGTTGCTGCCCCCAATTTCTATTTCCCCATCTTCTATCACTACTTTGTTGCGTGTCTAGAAAGTGGCGTTTCTAGGTACAGTTTTTTGTATATAGTGCTAGAGGTGGGCTCCTTCCACGGCACTGTATGCTATTTTTTCCCTCCTTCAAATAAGGCACAGTCTGCATAAGTGGGTCTAGGCAAGATTTTATTTAAATTGGTAAGTTGAGGCGAGTTAGGATGAATACTAGATACCTGGTTAGGTTGATTTGTGAAATTGTGTGAGGCAAAAAATTAAAGAGTACAATTCAGTTTTTTTCTTTGCTAGAGATGTTTTAGAGATAAGCTTCCGTTTATTTTTAAGTTGTTTTTCAAATCTCATCTAGTTGTTTCGCTTTTAAAAACAAGAAGAGGGTACTGTAACGGAAGCTGATTAATAGGACTTGAAATTTTAATTTTTTTGTAGATTTCAAAATTAAACGTTACTAGAAGTATGTTTGATTATAAGAATATACACAGGATTTCTTTGAATCGTTCATTCTGTTGCCGTTCGAGGTCGCGCAGATTTTTTTTTTATTCTTTCCGACACGCATACTCCTTGTACAGGGTGAGTGAACGATTGCGCGGAGTAACTTAATGCCTTGAAGATTGATTGAAATTACATATAACTTATTTAAGATTAGAATATAAAAACCAGGAAAACCAATATGTTTCGAAAACTATCAGAGATAGGTATAGGGCATTATTATCAAAAGTTGAAGGTTTTTGGAGAAGCCAAAAGATGACAGAGAAATATACAGGGTGTTCCATTTAAAAGAAGTGAATATTTTTAATATGAAGTTTTGTAACTTTGGATCTAGAAAAAAACACCCTGTAATCTATTTTTTTAATGTTTTATAGCAGATGTATTTATTTGACTTTTACTACCCAGGATAAAAAGATATGAAACCTGGATTCAAAATTTAAGTAATAATTTTGGCAATACACTGACGCTTGCAAATGCCCAATTTTCTTAAAAATCGAATTATCTTTAAAACTAGCTTTTCGGATATTAACCATATAATAAAAGAGATGTATAATTACAAGTAAAATTTAAAAATGCAATCAAATACAGGGGGTTCTATTTAAAAAAAAAGTACCATTTGGGAACCCTACTTTGTGGGCGCACCCTGTATAATTATAAACTTTTTTAAAATGTGGAGAATATTCAACTATATCATAATACAAAAGCACTCTATCGAAAAATCTTATCCTCAAGGCATTAAGTTAATCCGCGCAATCGTTGACTCACCCTGAACGAATTGAACAAAGTTGTCCCTCGTTATTCTACTTTTAAGCTTCGCTGGCGCTATTTGCGTATTTATCTTACAAGTTTTTAAGCTCTTTTGCGGTATGTAACAATTACGCATTCATTTTTACTTTGAATAATCATTTTTAAGCTTTCTTTTTTCTTACTTTTTACTTTTGATTTACGATTTACTTCATTATTACCTACCGGATTGTGCTTTCAACATCGATATTTCAGAGCCGAAACGCTGAATTTTGGATTTTCTCAATAATGAGTCATTTTAAGTATTAATTTCAGTTCTCAGTATACGATCAGCCTCAGTGTCAGATGTTACATTGCTATACGTGAAATTTTGTGCAGCGCGATCATTACCCCTCTTGTTGTTTGTTATGTTTTTGCCTGTTTACAGATTTGCAGTATAGACGCCCTTCTTGAGCTCAACAAGGTCGTTGCGACCTGTAAATTTTGTTATTTTCGTCGATTTCCCCTACTTTAACGTTTGGTTACATATTGGTTGTCGATATCATCGAATTATTATTACATTTGCTTGAGATTCACTTAATAATTTAGTATAGCTCCGTTGTGGAAGCGGGTAAATATTTTCTCCGACTTCGTGTTGACCCCCTTTTTTTCTAAAATTAATTTAAATTCAAATAGTGACATAGCAGATATTTATATTACAGTATCTTATTTGCAAAATTATTGAGACCATTGGATGAAATCACCATTGATTGTGACTCAACTATTGTTTATGTTCTATCACTATCCAGTGTTTTATTCCCTTTTCGCTGCCCAGACCAGAACAAAAATCTCTTAATCTGCCTTGTTTCCCCTTTTTTGTAAGTATTTCCTCCTCTCTCAACATTTACTGAAGACTATTAAGGGCGCCTATTTAGATATTACACTATTACTATTTTTCTCTTTTCCTTTATTTTTTCTTGTAGTAGTACTTCGTCTCATATCGCATTTCACGGAAAAAAAAACCCGTCACATTCTCTTTCGTTCTTTATCACCGGTGGCTAATCTTTTATGGGGCCTTGATGGAAGTTGCTGGCGCCCCGATGTATGGGATACTCCCTAAAGTATTTGACGGGAAGAATGTCTACTCACTTTCGCTAGCAGAAAATTAAGGAGATACACTTATTATTCAAGTTTATCAAGAATAAATAACAGTAGGAATTTCCAAAAAGCTTAATTTTTGAAAATTTAAAGA